TTAGCTGTATTCTGAACGTTCATTAGTTCAGTTCACCATGTCCTCCGCCATCCAAGCTTGAACAAACTGGAACTAAGTTCATGCTTCCTCCATTAGTGGTATATAGGGGCAGCAAGACCCATTTTGGGGGAGCTTTAGAGATGAAAGTCAAGTCTTAGCCTAAAAGGAATGGAGCAATAGGGTAACTAACTTTCAGAGGGCTAGAGGTGTGCCTGTGTGCTGAAGCTGCCCATCACGCAGCAGTTCCTGGCATTGATATATAAAAGAGCAATTAAATAGATGAGATTAGAGAAGTGGAGTCTTGCTGAAAAGAATAACAATGTGAGAGTCTGGTGCAGCAGAGTAACTAGTGAGAGGGGCAGTGAACAAAGGGGGCAACACACAAGCCCGTCCTTCTGAAGATGCTGGGGAAAAGGCAGAAAGACAAAGGAAGGAGGTTATGGCGTGTACCCAGGAATTAATCTACTCTGTCAAGGAGAAGAGGTGGGTTCCTGGGTTTGTTTTTAATCGGGTTTGCCAGGCCTGTTAGTATAAGCTTCTCAAAGAAATTCACATGGACGCTAAACAATAATTAAGGCGCTACTTTCTTAGAACTCTATTGTATGCAATGGGAAATCTTTAAGCTAAGGGGTAGCGAGAATGCAGTTAAACTAGCTCCATGAGGACATGTAGCTGATAGACTGTTCAAATATAATGGTGTTCCAGCTCTCAAAGGAGGGCAGGGATCTCCAATTTCAGGCCTCTGAAGTGTTAAATTATCAAATGAAAACTACAGCAAGTACCACCAAAACTGCAGTCATCAATATTACAGATTGTTTCTAACAAACAAAAGACCACAGGAAAAAAGGATGGGGATTGAAGGATGTCTGCACTGTATGCCAAGGTTTTTCTAAAAATATTTTACACCTGCTATTCATTCTGCACACTGATCATATTTTGTCTGTGAGGTAAAGAACTCACAGCGCCAAAGGGAATGTGGTTTATGTTCCCAAGTCTTAATGTTTTTTCCCTTCTGCAAGGCAAAACCCCTTCCTACCTTCACTAAAATAAAGCTAAGAGGACAAAAGTCATACACACACTGCCACAGTAACAGTTCAACTATTCCGCTTACTGAGCTCTGC